TCGAATTGATATCACTACTGCTGGAGGGCTAGACTGTGGAAGTTCTGCGAATCATCAACAGAGAAATTAAAGTTCTACCTCACAAAATAGTCTCTGCTCAAGCAGATAATAAGTTTAATTTTATGCATGGAAATCTTTTACTCCGAATCTTTAGCATTAATACCAAGTGCTGTAACCCAAATTGCAAGTGATGCCCGTCATGAAAAGAAAAAGGAGAAAAAACACCAATTGTTTTTTCTGAGAGATGGCAGCATGGGCTGTATCAGTTTACATATTTGTAAGGTGATGACAAATACCACATGCTATTAGAAAAAATCTTGTATAAAGCAAAAAAATAATAATAATAATTCACCTTTGAAACTTGTTGAGACTGTGAATCCCCAGTTTTACTGGAAAATGTAAATGGATTTCCCTCCTTGCAGACTGGTATATACTGTGCCTTGGGAAGGCTGTACAGATGAGCTAGAACCGTACAAACTTCATCAATGCCAGACTTATCCGCATCAAATGCTTTCCACCATGGTGGACTTTCAGGAAGGGGTACTTGGAACCTACGAGCAGCAGCATAGACAACTCCACATGCCACAACCTCACTCTTGAACCGAACACACAATGTTGTACGCAAACTACTCCCAGGAGAGTTGATGGACAATTAAGCCAAAGAAGCAGAGCATATTAATGAGTTTAACTTAAGAGAGAATAAAATTAGTGACTAGGAAAGAAAAACACCATCATCTGTGCAGTTACAGCAGCAACAAAATAAATAAACAAGTTATCCCTAGTATTAAGCAGTCCCTGGCACATTCAAGGATCATAATAGATATGAACGATTAGAAATTTTTTTTCAAAAAAATCCATTAGACACGAATGATTAGAAAATCTTAGAGGCCCAAAGGAAACAAAAACAAGAAAATCCATCAGAAAATACATACATATATAATTAAAGTATGCTAGTTAGAAACAACTATGATTACAATCCACCTTCCCATATTAGTTAGCTGTTGCAAATGTATAGACCAAACCATGCCTTTCATCCTATATTTGATTTACGTATTGAAAGAGTGACGAGAAACAGTCTTTCTTTTGCAATGTGATATGACATAGCACTGTGGACAAGACTGTTTGATACTTTTGGACTGACTTGGATTACTCCGCCCTCGTTGGAGTGCTTTTTTAATCCAACTATAGGGAGTTGGAGTGAAGAAGGTAGAGCGACCTCTCTAGCAAGGGGCTACTTTACAGAGATGTGGATGATTTGGTAAGAGAGAAATTACCGAATCTTGAATGATCGCTTTTGTAGGAGCCTATATGACATTTTTGGCTTCCTTTTCAACCAAGGCTTCTCATAGGAAATTTTCTAATATCGAGCTCTCCATATCGTGTAGAAACTGGGGGGCTATAATTTTTGAACTTTGGTGAGATTGCCTGTACACTTGGTTTGCACTTGGTTTAATGTTTTCTACTTGTAAGTTTTTCGGAGGATACATTAACCATCATATTGTAATTATGTCTTTCTCATCTTAATAGTACAAATTTTTCTATTCAAGAAAAGTACCACCTATCCTCTTTGCAGCTCCCATTGTTGCTCCTCCTGATTTCCAATCAAAGCAGTATCTTCCCATACTAAAAGCCTTAAAAAGTGGCTAACTAGAACTATATATTTTACCACCATAAAAAACATAATTTTCAAACGCCAAGCTTGCGAACATTACAGTGAATACACATTTCACTGGCAAATGTAGTGAAAAAAAATCTTGATTATGTTCTATAACTTTTCTTCCATCTTGCTTTCTCTGTTTTCAAAAGTCAATAAATCACACATTTATCTCCCATCCAAGCTCTCCAATAAGTTTTCAGGACTTATCTCTGCTAGCCCTAGATCAACTTCTAAGTTCAAAAAAATTCCCAACATTTCCAGTACGATATCCATAATTTCGTATCTTTGCTATCTTCAAAAACTAGTAGAATCCTCCATTGTTTTGACAAGAATAAGGAGAACAAGATGTTCTAGAAAGGGGCTTTTTGCTGGATTGTGGATCTTGTGATCAGGAAGAATTGCTTTAGGATAGTCTTCCAGGTATCTCTCTGGGCTAAAATTGATGGTCCCCCAAAGGGTGTTTCTTCATCTATTTAGTAAAGAGAGTTGGCAGCTGTTTATATTTAATGTTGTTTTTTCAATATTTATTTTTCCCTATTTAGGATGATCTTTTATTCACCATAGACATACAATGCTCTTCTCTGTTACTAACATTACATCTTCTATTAAAAAAAGAACTAACAAAATTAGTGACCCATGTGCTTAAATTTCTACCTGTCAGCAATTTTTTTATTGAGACAAAAACACCTACGAAATGACTACTAGAGAAATTGATCCGCAATTTACATCCCAAAATTTAATCTTTGCATCTGATTTAGCAGAGAGGCCTCCATAAGCCACAGCACCACCCTTGGCTACACAAATTTGCACAATCAAAGCCAAGAGAAACTAAAGTCCGGAACACTTGTGTGCCTTAACTCTTATTACTACCACATCAGAACCCTCAAATTTTAACATTCTAGGTCCATCAATTGTATATAGAAATTCTCTTACACCATACTGTAATCTGTTTATGAAGAAATTAAAAAAAAAAATGTTCCACCAAGTGTGTGGGAGGAAAGATAACTGTGGCCAGACGTTCTACTGATTGACCAAATACAACCAAATGTAGGCCGAGAATGCTTGCATGGTCAACATGCCACCTCAGAGGCTGTCAGAATGGTCCCTCAGGGCAGAAAACTTTTGGAAATTTTTGAGGAACTAATACTATGTAAAAAGGATAAAGTCTCTGGTCCCAATGGCTTCAACATGAAATTTATTCAAAAATTCTAGTACATAATAAAAGAAAATATTGTAGAGCTCTTCAAGGAATTGCATTGAGATTATTTGTTAAATCCTTAAACTCTTCTTTCTTGATACTTATTGCTAAGGTGGATGAAGCAAATAATATCAAGGATTTCAGACCTATTAGTTTATTTGGAACACCTATTATCTTATCAGGAAGGTAAAATGATGGCCAAGATAACGTATAGAGTGGTTGGCAAGTGTCAATATGCTTTTGGGAAAGGAAGGCAAATTATGGATATGGCACTTGTAGCTAATAAACTTGCGGATGATCTATTATTCCATAATAGTGAGGGAGTCCTGTGTAGGTTAGATATGGAGAAAACCTATGATCATGTAAGTCAGGGCTTCTTTGAGTA